GGGAAGGAGGGAGGGAGGGAGGGAGGGAGGGAGGGAGGGAGGGAGATTGGTTGATTTGTTCATGTACCTGGACTACTTATTATTCTGAAAGACAAAAGAGGACCTATAGACCAATTCTCTTCAAAAGACTGGAGTATAACTGAGGGTTGGAGAGATGATTCAGTAGTTAAGAACACGCATTGCTCTTGCAGAGGACCTGGGTTTGGTTCCCAGCACCCACACAGCAGTTCACAGGTACTTCTAACTGTAACTCTAAGAGATTTGGTGACCTCTGGTGACTTCTTCTGGCTTCCACCAGCTCCTGCATGCACACGGTGCACATATATACACACTCCAGTACAACAGACATACATACACTCTGGTACACACACACACACACACACACAATTAACTAGTTTTTTTTTTTTTAAGACTGAATATAAAGTTGTGTTTTAACATGACAAAGAGTAGAGGCAGTCACTGGCCTAGAATGTTAGCCACACAGGACCTAGGACAGAGCTTAGTCAGGTCTGCTTGAGAACATCTGTCCTTAGCATGCGCCTCTCTGTCCCCTTGGCTCTGAGTCCAGAGCTTTCACTCTGTCAAATCAAAGTTCCTTGGATCAGCTGGTGCCTCTCGCACCCATCCCTGCCTCGGTGGCTGAAGGTCACCCACAGTTCCGTGGGGGTGGGGGTGGGGTCAATATTGGTCTTGGCTAGTTTTATATCAACTTGCCACAAGCTAGAGTCATCTAAAATGAGGAAACTCAACTGAGAAAATGCCTCCATAAGATCCAGCTGTATAGCATTTTCTTAATTAGTAATGGACGGAGAAGGGCGGGGCCATCCCTGAGCTGGTGACTAAGGCAGTATCAGAGCCTGTGTGTGGCTTATATCAATGAGTCATGTGGGCTTCTGGGAGTGTCGTTCCTATCCAGGCAGTCAAGAGGAGGCTTTGAGGGGTAGAGCTGTTGTTACCTGGACCTTGGAGAGAGTGGGGAAATCACGAAGCACAAACCACTTGACATTTTCTGTGCAGGAAGGAGTGGTGAGTGAGCCATTGTAGGTATAATAGTGTCTGATGTCCACCGGCAACATGTTCCGAATGTTAACGTTTTTCAGAGTTGTCGTTTGTCCTAAGAGAAAAGACAGGGGATGGAGGAGAGGAGCCCTGCAGCCCCAGCAGGGACAGTTCGGGCTCTGCCTCAGGGATGTTCAAGTCAGCTGACCTAAGCTGTAGAATGAAGGCGCTAACGGCTGAAAAACTGTCCACCGGTTTACTGCTCTGGATGGGTGAGCAGCAGAGACCTGGGCCTGGTGGGGCAAGCTGTAATCCTAGCGCTTGGGAGAGTGAGACCCAAACCTGTCCCTGAGTTCAAAGCCAGCCTGAGCTTTAAAGTGACTTCTAGGGCTGAAGAGATGGCTCAGTGGTTAAGAGCACTCGCTGCTCTTACAGAGATCCTGAGTTCAATTCCCAGCACCCACGTGGCAGCCCACAACTGTCTGATGCTATCTTCCGGTGTACCTGTATAAATAAATCACTAAAATAAACAAAGTGACTTCCAGAAGCTAGAGAGATGGCTCAGTGGTTAAGAGCATATAATACTTTCCCAGAAGCCCCTCGTGTGGCACCCAGCGCCCATGTCAGGTGATCTACGACTGCCTGTAACTCTCCCTCCAAGGAATCAAAGCTAAAATCACAGGCATTTGTGGGGCACTGAGCTTGGTAGATGGCTGCTGGGGTCGGAACGCCGGACCCCGATGACTGCAGAATGCACCCCCATAACCGCTGAGTCACCTCTTCGCTCTCCATAGAGAATACGTTTTAAAATTTATTTTTATTTTTTGTGTATGAGCATTTTGTCTGTCTGTTTGTATGTATGTATGTATGTATGTATGTATGTATGTATGTATACCATGTGCATGCCTAGTGCCCAAAGGGGTCAGAAACTGGCTTCAGATCCCCTAAAACAGGAGTTACAGACAGTTGTGAGCTGATATCTAGGTTCTGGAAATCAAACCTAGGTCTTCTGCGAGAGTGGTAAGGCTCTGGCCTCTGGGGGTGTGTCTGAGCACAAAGACAAACACTGTACATATTAATAACTTAAGAATCCATACAAGCTGGGCAGTGATGGCGCAAGCCTTTAATCCCAGCACTTGGGAGGCAGAGGCAGGTGGATTTCTGAGTTCGAGGCCAGCCTGGTCTACAGAGTGAGTTCCAGGACAGCCAGGGCTACACAGAGAAACCCCGTCTCACAAAAAAAAAAAAAAAAAAAAAAAAGAATCCATACTTAGGAGCTGGAGAGAGGACAGTGGACAAGAACTTATGCGTGGTTTCTCAGAGGTATGCTTCCCTCCTAAACCTACAGCAGAAAGTGCCGGGACAAGGCCCTCAGTCAAAGAGACCTGGCTTCCCTCAGAAGGGCTGCGGCTTCTCCACTCACACCTCTTTCCTACTGTGAGCATTCCTTACCTGGATGTTTGACGTTGGACATCTCAGAAATGAAGGTGCTGTAGTATGTGTTTTCAGCGTATTCTTTAACCTGCGGAGAAGCACAGAGCACTCAGCACAGGGGAACTTGGCCCATCGCCCCACACCAGCCATTTGACTTTCCAGCTTGGAGGCCAAGCAAAAAAACATGGAGGTAGCCCGGCTCAGCTGTCCTAGTGGGAGATAAAATGACTGCCCCCTGCTACCAACTGCCCTCATCTCTATCCTCAGGGCTCCTGACAGACATGATGTCCCAGAAGAAGCTGCTCCCCTAGCCCTCCTGCTAGACCGCTCTTGTATGAATGTTGATTTAATTGAATTAGTTTAATGTGTATCAGAGTTTGCCTGTGTGTCTGTATGCCCACCATCTGCATGCAGTGCCCAGGGAATCCAGAAGAGGGCACTAGACCATTGGAACTGGAGTCACAGCAGGTTGTGAGCTATCATACAGGTGCTATCTCAGTGAGAGCAGCAAGGGCCCTTAACTACTGAGCCATCTCTCCGGCCTTGATTTTTGTTTTTTTTTTTTAAGAAGAAAACAAAAGTTGCTTCTGGTTTAAGAGGCATATTTTGTTGCTGTTTTCCCCTGTTGATTTGGTTGGGTTAGGTTTGATTTTGTTTTAGGGTTTTTTTTTGTTTTTGTTTTTGTTTTTGTTTTTTTGTAGGATTTCTCTGTGTAGCCCCTGCTGTCCTGGAACTCACACTATGTAGACCAGGCTGACCTTAAACTTGAGAGACTTGCCTTCCTTTGCCTCCTAAGTGCTGGGACTAAAGGCGTGCACCACCACCGACTGGCTTGATTTTGTTTTTCTTATTGTGTAGTTTGGGCTGGTCTAGAACTCCTTACGTGGATCATGCTGGCCTTGAATTTGCAGTAATCCAATACTGTTTCCAAGTAGAGGGGGTACAGGCATGGACCTCTATGACAGACTCCTGGGGACTGTTCTGTTGGTTTTTTTTTTTCTTCTTCATATAGATTTTGTGAATTATTCATATTATTCTCCTGATTTCCTCTTTTAACTTTATTATTACTGTGTGTTGGTATGACAGGGGAGGGCACATGGCTGTGGCCTGCATGTATCAAGGTCAGAGGACATCTCTCTGGACTTGCTTCTCTCTTTATGCAGGTTCCAGGGATGAACTTAGCCCGCCATACTTGCATTGTGATCTACTTTGCCCACCAAGCTATCTCATTGGCTCTTATCTCTGCCTTCTATATTTCAGTGTGCACACACACACATGCATATGTGCCACCATACCTGGGTTTTCACGTGGGTGCTGGGGATCGAACCCGGGTCGTCACGTTTGCACGGAAAGCACTGTCTGAGCTAGTTCCCCATTTCCTGTATCTCCCTATCTCTTAGCATGGGAAACTCTTTTGTTGAAACGTGAACCTATCAGACAGTATATGGAAGAAATTCTGACTCTGATCTTCTAAAATTGTCCTAGGGTGTTTTCTTATTTGTTTATGTGTAGGCTCGCTTTGGGACTTGCCTGTGTTTAGTCTGCAGAATGTGCTCCCCCCAACCTCCCCCCTCGCCCCGCAGCACAGAGCAGTTAATGTCTCTGCTAAGCATAATGCTCATAGATTTTAAATTTTATCTATTTATTTATTATTTTTTACTTCAGGTTGTCCTATAACTCACCATGTATCCCAGACTGGCTTTGAACTCACGACAATCCTAGCTCAGCCTCCTGAATGCTACAAATACATGTGTGAACTGCCACATCTGATTCTGCTCAGTTTTTAACTTTATTTATTTATTTATTTATTTATTTATTTTTAAGACAGGGTCTCACTGTGTTCCCCTGGATAGCTTAGAAGTAGACAAGGCTGGCTTCAGACTGGGATTAAAGGCATGTGTCACCATATCTAGCTCTCTTCTTTTGGTTTTGCAAGACAGGGTTTTTCTATGTAGCCCTGGCTGTACTCGAACTCACTCTGTAGACCAGACTGGCCTTGAAGTCACAGAGATTGTCCTGTCCCCTGAGTGCTGGGGGTTAAAGGTCCACACCAACCATACTCGGCTGTTAAATGTTAACTTTTCTTGTGTAGCTGGAATTCCTAGGGACAGCTGTAGTTCTGGAGTCACAGTGAACTGGATGGAGGGCATGCTTAAACCCCTCAAGTTTCTGTGTCTTGCCTTTCTACTGATCCTCTCTGTGAGAAGCTCAGCACACACCCATGCAGCTCCTGTAGCCTCTGTCGTCCCTCGCTCCACCCCTCCATCCCCACCCCCTACCCTCCCCCACTCCCCACCCCGGCTCCTCTAGGAGGCTCTCCAGCAAAGATCTGATTGGCTGCTATCACTGCGCCCCCAGCTGTTCTGTCTGTGAGTTCTCTCTGTTTTCTGACCGCTTGATCACGTTTTTATCTCACTGACAGTGGTTCTGGGCTTCAATTTGCACCCAACACTCCGTCCACTCTGCTGGCCAGGAGAAACCGGAACTTGTCTTTCCAGGCCAGTCTCATCTCAGATAAACTTCCTGTCTGACCATAGTAGGGATAGGAACCAGATGAACCCTGGGGGAATGTCCTCGGGAACTCACGCTTAGCAGAAATTCTACCTGATTTCGTGAATAACTGTCTTAAATGTACTGTCTGCCTCTAGCCCATGCTGAAATGGTGGGAAGAGGGTTGCATGGTTTTTTTTATTTTGCTTTTATTTTTTATCTTGCTTTGCTATGTTTTGTTTGAGACAAGATCTCATTGTCTAGCCTAGGCTGACTTTGAACTTTCAATCCTCTACCTCAGCCATCTGAATGCTAGGATTACGGGTTTGGCTACCATGATCAGCTTCCTGGGTTTTTTGTTTGTTTGTTTGGTTGGTTTGTTTTGGTTTGGTTTTTCGAGACAGGGTTTCCCTGTGCAGCCCTGGCTGTCCTGAAACTCACTCTGTAGACCAGGCTGGCCTGGAATGCCCGGCCAGCTTCGTGTTTTGAGATACTATGGAAGCAACTGGGCATTTCATTTTGCTTATAACTTTATCCAGTTTTATATTAAGTTTTTTTGAGGATTAAATTCCTGTCTACTTTAAATTTGTTTTTTAGATTTATTTGTTTTGTATTTTATATGTACGGGTGTTTTATCTGCATGTATGTCTGTGTACCATAAGCAAGCCCGGTGCCCTCAGAGGCCAGTGGATCTCCTGGAACTGCCATGTGAGTGCTGGGCCTAGAACCTGGGTCCTTGGGAAGAACAGCCAGAACTCTTAATCACTGAGCATCTCTCCAGCCCAGATTCCTGTCAACTTCAAATGACCTATCCCTGAGTCCATCGTGTGGACTTTCTTAGACTCCGTCTGGCTGGTTTCACCTGGCCCATTAGACCAGCCTGTGCTGTGTCTAGTCAACCCTCCTCCTGGGATTCCAGGTCTTTTAAGTCATCTTATTACCCAAGGCCCCATGGTTTATAACACACGCGTGGCCAAGGGCTGGAAAAACGGACAACCTTAGTAAGGGATGGAGAGAGAAAATGAAGATGATGCGTCATTCAGACCGCATACCTCCTTTGGACTTGAGAGCATAGCCTGAGTCAGACACGCATGCGTAGTTCCAGCCTACCTCAACCAAGACCGCTAACACAGCTAAGCCGTCTTTTTGGTCCTTAGCTTTCTCAAAGGTCTCGTACTTCTGATTGAAGTGAACATAGTGAACCTGTGAGTGAGAAAAAGCAGGTCAAGGGTAGTTCATCTGGACGTCAAACACTTAAAGATTCTAAAGAGAGGGGAGAGAACGTGAGACGCTCCAGCAGAGGCCTCACAAACTACTCTGCCCTCTCTCCTTCCGTGCAGACTACAAGTCCCGACTGCCAAGACCAGAAACTTTTCTGAGAATAAAAAGAGAGGAAGTGGGATTCTGGAAGGTTGTGGTTCTGGTTTGACCTGACCCAAACTCCCTCTGGCAGAGGCTAGATTATATGAGGCCTCTGTGCCCTCCCCTGAACTCTAGGAGGCTTAAGGAGATGGAGAGCCACTGGAAGCCACTGGAATCAGTAAGCTGGAAATCAGCCCAAGGATGGGTACAGGCCAGAGAGGTGCCCTAAAAAAACCGCTAACACACAAATTCAGCTGAACCAGGAAGGCCTGCCTCCGTGCAGACAAGAGACTCCTGCCACGTTCTGAGTTTTCTGAAGACGGACCCTGTCTACATTCCCCGACAATGCAATGACAGAGTCATTTCCAAATGAACCGAAAATAAATTCAATCACAGGGTGACTGAACCGTCACCACTGCACAAAATCATATTTTAATAAAAAATAGCCGATATTAAAATTGGCTAATTTAATAAGAAAGGTAGAGCTGGAGAGATGGCTCAGTTGGTAAAGCACTCGCTGTAGAGAACAAGGAACTGAGTTCAATTCCCAGCACCCACAAAGGAAAACTGGGCACGGGACTGCATATCTATAATCTCTGAGACAGTGGCAATAGCATCCCTGAGGCTCGATGGCCAGCCAGTCTAGCTGGTTGATGAGATCCAGACTCAGTGAGAGAGAGTTTGATAAAGGAAACAGCATCAATCCCTGGCCTCCACACATACACATATATATGTGCATGCACACTCACATACACGACACCTGTATAACACAAGCATACAGTCACTGACACAAAGAAAGGTGACTCTGGAGCTTGAAGGGAAGGGGACCCTGTGGGGGTTGTCACATACCTCCATCATACTCCTCATCCCATCAAAGGTGTGTTCAGAGCCACTCAATTCCGAGTCCCTACCGCCCCAGTGAAAGTGCATCTGCTCTGCGACGTACACGGTGCCATCAGAGTCTCTGAAGTGCATGCTGTGCGGCAGGGTGATCTGTACTGTGGGAGAGAACACGGCACAGGGAGACTCAGAGCTCCCTGGTCAAAATATTGCCCAAAGTATATGCCTATACCCCTAGCACTTGAAAGCTGAGACAGTGGGATTGCTAGTTTGAGACATGACTTCATGGCTTTACCCGTACAATGTCTTGGCTAGCCCACAGAACTGCTGCCTGAGGTAGCATCATACTGGGGTCCAGCACTCCTGTTTTGTGGACAAGGAAGCTGACCCCGGGGGTGGGAAGACTCAGTATTATGTTGTGCCTTGGTCCGGGGCAGAGCTGAGCTGGGAGCCCCACATCTGCATCTCTAACCACACGCCATCATGATATGGCTCAGCTTGTCCTCGGAAGACAAGAAACCAGGTTACACAGCCAGCCAGGACCCGAGCTCTTGCTTAGCTTAGGACTTAATTTGACTGAGATTCTAACCCTGAAATGCCGGAGGAAAAAGAAACGGGTCCCCCTGCTGCATACCCTTCAGACTTCCAACAGGGACATTATTTGGGTCAAATGACTGCAGATATTCATCTCACTGGCTCAGATCTTTAAAAAGTTTTGTCTCTTGAAATGAGCCATCCAAGAGTAAAACAGGGTAGTGACACCAGAGACTGACTAGGAAAGGTTGTGACGGTGCCAGTTGGTCAGGCACGGTGCCACATGCTTGTAATCTCAGCACTTGGGAAACTGACAGAATGATCAGAATTTCAGGTCAATCTCACTGCATCTGCATTTGGAGGCTAGCCTGGGCTCCATGAGACCCTGTTTTAAAACAAAAAAAGGTATAATTTAAGATCTGAGACTCTGTCTCTCTCTCTGTCTCTCTCTCTCTCTCTCTCTCTGTGTGTGTGTGTGTGTGTGTGTGTGTGTGTGTGTGTGTGTTTGTGTGTCTCTCTCTCTCTTTCCCCCACCCCCGTTTAAACATTTCTATAGTTGGCCATGGATCCATATGTTTCCTTAAAGAGCAGACATTCATATTCGAAATGTTCTTTCTTCCCAAATTGTTTAAAGGAGTTGGGTGCCTGTGATCGGATGAACATAACCTACTAATCCAGACTCAGAGATGGGAATGGCTCTTTGTAGAATGAATGCTTACTATTCAGAGCCTCAAAAATCCTATTTTCTCAAGAATGGAAGAGACCTTAAAGGAGGAAGTCACTGAGTGAGTTCTGCCAGGAGTCGGTGGGAGCCAGGAACCTAGGCCCCACAGAGCTTCTGCTGAATGGATGGTTGTCCCCACAGAAGCAACAAGAGCGATCCTGGCAATTACCTGTCCCAGACCGCAGCTTTGAGAAGACAGACTGTCCCTATTGGGGCTTTGCACGGACAGGCCTGCTCAGGGAGCTCAGAAAGGAGCTGTAGTGGTTGGTTTTTTGTTTGTTTGTTTGTTTGTTTGTTTTTGTTTTGTTTTTGAGCTGGTGGCTGGGCTGTTGAAAAGCTCAGGCCCATCTCTCCCTGTCTCCAGTTCCACTTACTAAAGTTTCCAGATTCTGAAAATGGATTCACCTCCTGAAAGCATTTGCTCCCTTTGTGAGGAATGACAATTTAATCAGCGTCTCGACCGATGTTTGTCTAGTCAGATGTTTGTTGTCCTCAGGTGACCACCACCGGGGTTGAAGTAGAACACTTGACCAGCATGCACTGGGCCCTGGGTTTGGTCTCCAGTTTTACATAAACTGTGGTAGTATACCTCCATAATCCCGACACTCAGGACACGTAAGTGGGGAAGTCAGGAATCCAGGGTCATCCTTTCCTGAAGCCAGCCTGGGTTGTCTTTAAAAGACGGAATGTCGACAAATATAGCCAACCCTTACCCGGGTTTGCCTAGCATGTGCAAGGCCATAGGTCCTTCCTCAGCCCTCGAAAACTGGGTCTCTGTGCATGCTGCTCCTGACACGTATGCACACTCCCTGTTTCTCACGCAGACTGCCAGTCCCACCGGTCCCCCTACCTGTGTGTCCGTTGTTAGTCATAGAGAGCTCCGGCTGCTCCACGTCATAGTTGACCATGAGCAGGGGTTTCAAGGACCTGTTGAACCGCACCTTCCTCCTCTTCACATTGATGGGCGACTGCCTTTTCCCGCCACAGTCAGGGTACTTCTCAGGCCACTGATTTTCTGCCAGGCCGTCATCCCCTGTCATGGGAGAGAGTGGGGCCCAACTTAGAGCTACCCCGCTGGGCCTTCTCTGAGGCTTCTCACCAGGCTGGGGTCAGGAGCTTCTGTGTGGAAGACCCATGGGGCAGCCTTCTGGAAATAGAAGCAGCGCTTCCAGAAGGCAGGCTGGGAAAGCTCTGGACTAAGCCCAGTACTTGGGGTGTGGCGATGGTGTTCGTCCTTTGCAGCTACCGGCAGAAAGAGCCCAGAGCTAATGATTCATGTCCAAGGGTCTCCTGCAGAGCAATTGGCCCTCTATCTTGCAGTAGTCACGTGATGAAGGCTCCTGAAGGGAGCCTGGGCCTACCAATAACCCCTGACCTCATTTTCAGAGAGCATGGTGTTCCTTTCCAAGCCCTGGACTTGAGCCCCACCCCGCACCTCAGCTTCCTCTGCTGCTAGACCCTCTGTCCCCCAAAACAACAGCCTTCTTCTTGCTCTAGCCCCTTCTCTAGGTTCACAGAAAGGCAAAGACCATCTAAATGACAACCCATGAATACAGGGTACCTGAAGAAGCATCATGTTAAATGGGTGGGGCAGGCCTGGAGCCCTAGCACTGTCGAGGTAGAGGCAGGAGGATCACAGTTCAAGATCATCACCATCGTAGCCTACATTAGATCCTATTTTTAAAGTAACACAAAAACAGAAAGAAAAAAACAAAACCTTGGGCATATCTATAGTTTGAGCTTCTCAGGAGGCAGAGGTAAGAGGATCTTTCTTTCTTCTTTCTTTCTTTCTTTCTTTCTTTCTTTCTTTCTTTCTTTCTTTCTTTCTTTCTTTTTTTAAGAGGCAGAAGGTTCTTTTGAACCTGAGAGTTAACTTGTTTTATTTTTTACGACATCATACTATGTATTCCTAGGTGGCCTTGAACTTGTGGCAATCCTCGTATCTTTTGGGTGTTGTGATTACTGTCTTGTTATCGCAGGTGTAAATGAGCCAGAGGTTCAAGGCCAGCCTGGGCAACATAGTGAGATGCTGTTTTTTTTGTTTTTTTTTTTTTTAAAAAACAAAACAAAACAAAACAAAAAAAAACCTGGAGGTTGTGGTGGCACACACTTGGGAGTTAGAGACAGACTGGTCTCTGAGTTTGAGGCCAGCCTGGTCTATAGAGTGAGTTCTAGGTCAGCTACACAGAGAAACTGTGTCTCCAAAAAGAAGAAAAAAGAGGAAGAGAGTTAGAAAGGAAAGGAAAGGTGTTAAGTTTATCTTTTAGGAGATGGTTAATAATCCCAAAGCCAGCATAATGGTGGCCAATCACTGCAGGTGACAGAGGCCCTCACCACTGACAGGTTTTGTTAGGTTATTTGTTTTGATTTACTTTTGGTTTTTGAGACACGGTCTCTCTATGTAGCCCTGGCTGTCCTTAAACTCGGTATGTAAACCAGGCTGGCCTTGAACTCACAAGAGATCTGGCTGTCTCTGTTTCCTGAGTATTGGGATTAAAGGTTCACCATGCCCAGCTCTGTTCAGCCCTTTGCAATTGAGGATCGTTCAAGGACAGCTTTGAAAGAGCACATGGCTTGTTCTAGGAACGGTGCTCGGCTTGGGGCTTCTTGGTTTGTCGTCAACAGAAAAGTTTATTGTTTCCTCACCCTAGTCAGTAACTCAAACCAAGTCTCGAGCAAATCTTTCTGTGCCGCAGCAGCCCCTTCCTTGATCCAAATGTGTTGGGTCTGGGTCTTAAGGATACTGGGAAGGAAGCAGAGCCCAACTGTCCCGCTCGCCTGGCATGCACAAGGCCGGTCTCCAGTCATAGCGCTGTGGGGGGTTAGGAGGGTCAGAGAACCCACCAGGCATTTACAAAAGTCACCCTGTTCCCCAGGCTGTCTGGGGGTCATGTGAGAGGGAGGCCTGCAGCCTGGGGAGCTCTGAAACCGTAGGAAGACTAGGATTTGCCATCTGGATCCTCCATCTTCTGTCATCTCTGGAGCTCTGTCAGGAAGGCTGCTGGGAGACACTGAAAAGCCACAGCCCTGCCAGGCAGGTGTGGGCTCCATCTCCCAATAGGGCGATTGATGGAACTGCCCTCTGAGCCTCCACAATGTCCCTGACTGTCACCTTCATCTAGGACTTATAGTCTGCTCTGAATGTGTGGTGTCCCATGTGAGAGGGCAGTCCATAGAAGAGACTTCGTCTTGTGTCCCTCTGGCCTCCTGCACCCATCCAACAGCCTCCTGCCCCACACCCCAGACACTACCACCCCCAACCCAGTTCTATTAAGCTACAAGTGGGAAGAGTCTTCTTATGTTCCCTTTGAGAAGTCTGACTGGGCATATAAGGTAAGGTCAGTGAACTCTGGCAGAAGCAAGGCATCCTGGATGAACTGTGAACGGGCACATTCCTAAGAAGGAAGCTGTCTGTGATCTAGTAGTCTCTATGAGACCTTGGTTGTCCTTTCTTTTTTTTTTTTTTTTTTTTTTTTTTTTTGGTTTTTCGAGACAAGGTTTCTCTGTATAGTCCTGACTGTCCTAGAACTCACTCTGTAGACCAGGCTAGCCTCGAACTCTTGAACTCAGAAATCTGCCTGCCTCTGCCTCCCAAGTGCTGGGATTAAAGGTGTGCGCCACCACTGGCCAGCTTGGTTGCCCTTTCTAAAAGCCTCTTTTGTCACATATTCTGATCCCAGTAACAGCCTCACAGTCAGAAGCGGGTTCTCGAAGCAGCCCTGTCATAAAAATGAGAGGTGTGGGGATAGGGGGCTAGAGAGCTGGCTCAGCAATTAAGATGGAAGGTTTTAAAAGCTGCCAAGTGAACCTGGGCCGAGGCAGGGAAACACTGTCTCCTCACTCACCGGGTTCTAAGTCTATCTGTTGTTCATTCAGAGATAGCAAAACACTCGTGAACCCACAAGGAGCAGGCAGACCCCAACAGAGGACCCATATCCAGTGCAGAAGGCTGCTTTGTCACTCTGTCCTGAAGTGCCCGGTGTTGGCTTACCTGTGTAGCTCCAGTCACTGGCCTGGATGCCCAGGAAGAACAGGGACACCACACTCACCAGAGCCCTCATGGCAGATTCTGTAGCCCTGAATGCAGGACAGCTTCTGGGCTGCACTTCTTTTAAATGCTCAGAAACTGTAAATAACAATTTACCAGGTCCAGCTGGCTGATCCGCCCTTGCTGCGCCCACTGAACAATAACACCCTCCCCACAATGGTCCCTCTGACTTGGTACCTGGTGCACGTGCCTCACCTCCTCCTAGGGCATTACCATAGCCAATTAGCCCATGTCTGGTTGTTCAACATCTTTGGAAACTCAGTTGAGCGGCCACACAGTGCAGCCATTGTGGACCTCGAGTGCTGAGTGAACTGGAGGGATGAGAAGAGCCTGAGGCACGGTGCACCCGGAAGCAGGGGCTTCCTGGACAGTGACATCATGTCCTCTGCCCTTTCTCCTGGCTGCCGAGTGGAATCACCAGGGCCTGGAAACCATGCCAGATTCCAGTTGGTATTTCCTGCCTGTCCCAGAGTGGACTTAAGAACACCCCTGATGGCTTAAGGGTTGACCCCCCCTCATCCCCTGGCCAGCTAGGCAACTGGGAAGATAGCCTTGTATCCTAGCTTTAGGTGAGAACTGGAGGAGCCATGTTAGAGGCAGAGATAGGTTTATCCAGCCCTGGACCTTGGACCCGGGCTTTTCAGCTACATCTGCACATATGCCTTGGGGACATTGAGGTAGAGGAGTGTAGCCGCTCCTATGTCCCTGAGGATTTGTTCCGACAGCTGCAGTGCACTAGGGGACACCCAGACTGAATCAATAAACTGACTGGTCCTTGTGCATCTATGTGGATAGTGAAGGAGAAGCTGACATTTATGCCTGGCTGCCTGACAAACCAGCATATCCCACGTCCTTCAGCGAGGCAAAGGCATGGACAGGCAGGACTCCTGGAGGGCACCTGCCATGCTAGCCAGATGCAAAGAATTGATCTGCTCTGACGAAGAATTGATCTGCTCGATGGGGTAGCAAAGTGGTAGCGTGTAGTCATAGCGAGTGTATGAGAGATGGTAGGGTGCTTATATCTCAGAGGGCTCCCTACAGCCGTTTAATCTGGGAACATCCATTGCTGAGAAGATCCCACTGAAATCCTAAACCCGTAAAGCTCAAGAGACCAAAGAATTACAAAGGAACCAGCTACCCAACTACTCTGTGCCTCAGTTTCCACATCTTCAATAGGAGCCTGAGACAGCACACACATACAGAGACACACACACATACACAGACACGTAAACTCAGAGAGAGAGAGACACACACACACACATACAGACACACACAGAGAGACACACAGACACACACAGATTCACACAGAGACACACACACAGACACACATGCACATACATACATAAACGCATACACACACAAACACATACAGACACACAAACACACACACACAGACATACACAGAGAGAGACACACACAGACACACACACATACAGACACACACAGAGAGACACAAACACACACAGAGACACACAGACACACACAGAGACACACATATACAGACACACACACATACAGACACACAGAGACACAAACACACACAGAGACACACAGACAAACACAGATTCACACAGAGACACACATACACACACATGCACACACACAGACACACACACACTGACACACACATAGACACACACACATACACACAGACACACATAGATACATACAGAGACATACACACATACACACACAGACACACACACACATAAACATGCACACACAGACACACAGAGACACACACATACACACACACACACACACACACACCGTTTGTGAGGGAGCAGAGGTTACAAAGCCCTTGCTCTTCACGGATTTCTCCAAACTCAAACCCTACTCTACTGACACACGAAGTAGGTCTTGCCCGGTCTGCTGAGGCCCTGAACCTGCAGTGAGGGCCATCTTATGGCTACAAGAGCCCCATATCAGCTGAAGGGTTTAATAGATAGCATCACAACTGAGAGACTGAGGCCGAGAGTGTCGTGAGTTTAAGACAAGATGACTGCCGGGAGTTTGAAGCTAGCCTAAGCTACAGAATGAAGCCCTGTCATAAAAATGAGAGGTGTGGGGATAGGGGGCTAGAGAGCTGGCTCAGCAATTAAGATGGAATGTTGCTTTTACAGAGGACCCTAGTTCAGTTCCCAGCACCCACATTAGGCAGAGTGCTGGGGATCTGATACTCTTCCAGTCTCTGTGGACATCAGCACTGGAACCCATGTGCACACACGCACACACGCACATATGTACTCACACACGCCACACACAAATAATAAATAAACCTAAAAGGAAAAAGAAACAAAGCTCTCTCTTCTTGAGAACTGGGGCTTTCGCTCAATGATGGAGTTCTGGTCCAGCATGCACAAAAACCTGGTTTCAGTCCCAAGCATCACATAAACTTGGTATGGAAGTATGACCTTATTTCCAGCACTCAGAAGTTAAAAATCATCCTTGGCTACGTGTTGATGACAGGAGATACACACCGTCTCTAAGCAAAAGAAAAGCAACATCTCACCGACTCTAGATAAGACAGCATCTTTTGGGCTGGGGAGATGGCTCAGCGGTTAGGAGCTCTGACTGCTCTTCCTAAAGGTCCTGAGTTCAATTCCCAGTAACCACATGGTGACTCATAACCATCTGTAATAGGATCAGATGCCGTCTTCTGGTATCTGAAGACAGTTACAGTATACTCATATGACAGCATCTTTTTCAAGCCGAGTGAAAAACCCAAAACGGAGGCAGGATCTGTTGATCTCAGGCTGGTCCTGAAGTCAGAGACCTGCCTGCCTCTGCCTCTAGAGTGTTAGGGGTTTAAAGCATGCAGGTTTTTTGGGGGGACTGTGCATTGGAAAACAGAATATAGCTCACGGTCAGGAGGCAGGTGATCTGGGGAGGAGGTGGAAGCTGAGGGAACTCAAAGTAGGCTGGGCCTTGGGGAGGCAAGCTTCCACAGGGAGGGAAGGAGGCAGAGGAGAGAGAACCCTTTTCTGAGGCAGCTGGGCTCCAGGAAGTGGCAACCTGGGTTGTGTTCACTCCCAGCAGCTCCCAGCCCTGTCTCCCGTGGGGTTCTGCAACCCTGAGGTTAGCCGTTTGGGGTTCCCCTGTGCTTATATGGCCTATGAGTCTCCTTGCGCGCTTGCTGTACATGGCTATGGTGGCTAAGTCTGTGACTTCGAGCCTCACTGCCACCATCCAGAGATCCTGCTGCCCATCCCCATGCACAGCTGGGGATGGTGTCACCTGTGTTAAAGGCAGCAATTAAATTAATAAAGAAAGTAGATCATATCAGCTCCTGAAATCCAACAGCCACCTGCTAACGAGGGCACAATACTAGATGCGGGTCCCTCCCTCTTTCAGATGGCATACTTCCGGTGATGCACTCACACAGAATAAAGCAATGTCAATTTTGTTGCCTAATTTCTGACCCATTGTCTTCTTTGATCCTAAAATTTTCCATCCGTCTACTCTGAAGAGGAGATACTCCCTTCTTGTGTTTGTGGGTCACATGCCTGTGTATGTATGTGTGTGTTTGTGTGCATATGTGTGTGTGTATACTCCCTGTGTGTGTGCATATGTGTGTATACACCCTGTTTGTGTGTGCATGTGTGTGTGTTTGTGTGTGCTTGTGTTGTAGGTCAAATGCCTGTGTATTGTGTGTATGTACAGCTTGTGTGTGTATGTGTGTGTGTGTGTATGCATGTGCGTGTATGAAGTCCTTCTGCCTCATCCTCCCACACCCTCAGCTTACTGAGGCGTGTTTTGGTTCTACCCTCCTGTTTCCCACAACTCATGACTTTATTGACTGTGTCAGATGTGCTGACAGGTTTACCGTCTTCATCACAACGGAAGGTGAAGAATGAGAAAGGAGTCTTTGTGCTTCTTGCGTTTATGACTGATTGTTTCATGCAAAGGCCCAAAGAGGCGAAGAAAAAGAAGAGGGGAAGACATGGTCACCCCAGGTGAGTAGGAAGTACCAGCAGCCCAAGTAAACAGGGAGGCGCTGCCTGCCCAGGTGTGCTCAGCCTACTCGGGCAGGGAGGAACCATCCGTCCGCACAGGGAACAGAGACAAGATCAAGGAAGGTGAGCAGAGGTGAGCTGGAAGACAGCCCAGTGAGCTGATGTGTAGGTTCATACAGGACTGGCATACAAGGGTGGGCCATGGTTACACAAGAATATGCTGTGCCCAATACAGAGAGGCCATTATCCGTTCCCTACAGCACTGTGAGCTCCCTGGAATCATGAAGGCTGAGCCATTTTGCATAAGCTTTCTGCATCATTTGGTCCTATTTAAGCCCCACGGTGCTTAATCTATCAGAGTTGAAGCCCACCCACTTGCTGGCCTCTTGCTGTCGTGTTGTGTCTTCTTTTGTGTGAGACAGGGTCTTACCTGGTCTGGCTGTGCTGGAACCCCTTGGCACCCCTAGCTGTCCTAGAATTTGCCAGAGAAGACCAAGCTGACCTCCAACTCAGAGATCTGCCGGCCTCTGCCCCGCGAGTGCTGGGATTAAAGTGGGCTACCATACCTGGTAAAGCCTGCTTTCTTGACCATATTAGTAGGGATGTAGCTAAGCTTTTCCTGGGCTGGAGATTCAGTGGCAGTGAATTTACCTAGAGCACAAGGTTAGATACCTAGCACTCAAGAAATTAACAATTTTCTTTCTTCTATTTAGTGAGATAGGGTCTCACGTACCCAAGGCTAGCCTAAGACTCACTATGTAGCCAAGGAGGATCTTGAACATCTGATTTTTCTTGTCTCTACTCCCAAGTGCCTATTCTAACTAAACATGTGTGTGCATTCATGCAATTTCATACAGTACTAAGATCGAACCCAGTGTCTCATGCATGCTGGGTAAGAACTCTGCCAACTGAGCTACATGCCCAGGCCCAGCAACGGCTTTCTCTCTGAGAATGTCTGCTCTGTCACTCTCTGCTTTATTCCCTTGAGGACACCAGATATCCTCCTCTTCTGGCTTCCAAATGTGTACATGAGAATATGCCACAAACACACATCCAC